TAACGCTGTCAAGAAAACCCCAAAACCCCAAAACCCCATAAGATTGATATTTTTACTCAGAGTGAATTATGAAATAAAGAATTAAAAGCTATTTGTATCATTTAATCTCAAGGTCTTGAAATTCAAAGCTAATTTATCAGAATATCTTTTCTTCACCTGGCTAGCATAGTACAATACAATTAACTCCTTTTAGTCTTTTATAGTTCACTACTAGTTTATGATTTAAAGGATCTAATTATTTCGCTTTTTCAAAATCATCCGCCGCTTGTTAGAAATTCTATTTAGAAATTAAAAGATATCAATTATTCTTACGCCTAATGATTTATATGAAAATGCTCGCCTAAAATGGGCATGAGCATTCTTTGGGTTTCTCTTTATAACATTTGAGAAATCCTCTATAGCCTCTTTGTGAAATTCTATAAGTTAATATGATTTGGCTCTTTCGTGAATGTATCTGATTTCATTTGGAATCATTTCAATACACTAAAATAAGATTTACAGTTTTTATATATTTACTTTGGTCAAAGGATAAAGTGATCTTTCATATTTATCAAGATTAGCATAGGCTATACCTATGTGGTAGTAAATATCTGCTTCATAAGAAACATAAGGACTGTTCTTGAGTGCTCTCTTCAAAGTCTTTATTGCTCTTTTAAAGTTGGGTAATTTATAGTAAGCCAATCCAAGTTTATAAAATAACTAGGGATCTTTTGGTGAAATCAAAAGAGCTTTATCTAAATCTGAAATAGCATCTTTATAACTCTAGATAATCTAGTAACAATTTGATCTGTTTAAGAGAAATTTGACATTCTGAGGTTATTGATTAATGGCTTGGTTAAAATACTATAAAGAATTAATTGCCATTAAAGCTTACTGTAATTGCCTTGTCATATTCTTTGAGAAGCAGATAACAACTTCCTTAACCATCAAATATACCTGGCAGGATAGGATCAGTTTCCTTAGACAAATTTTTGCTCCTATAAAATGTTAAAACACCTAATCTTACTAATTAAAGTCATCTAAGGCCTCATAGTAAAGTTTTGATTTCATTTAAGATATACCTCTGTAGTAGTAGGGCTCTGCTTTTTCTGGATTTAGCTGCAAAGATTTGTTGAAATCTCTAATTGCATATTAGTGATTACCCATATCCTGGTAGATCTAGCCTCTCTAAATGTAAACATCCACATCATCAGGCATCTTTTATACTACATTACTCATTCGTTTAAGTGCTTGGGGAAATTAATTAGTCAGATGAAGCATTTTACCCAAATGAAACTCACTTGAAATAAAGTCATTTTCTGCATAAAACAGAGCTTTCTGATACATTTCAATAGCATTTAGTCTATGCTGCATTCCAAGATCTCCAAGTAACTTGCTTTGCTAGCCTTCATAAGCGAGACCCTTGGCATGCCAGTATTTTGAATTCTTTTCGTCTAGTCTCAAGGCTTTATCATAGTCATCATGCGCTTCTTCGTACCTTTGCTAATTCAAGTAGACATTTCCTCTCTAATAATAAAACAGTGGTTCATCTTCATTTTTAGAGATAGCCATGTGAAAGTCATTAAGAGCTTCTTCATATTTCCCCAACTTGAAAAATGTAATTCCTCTGTGACTGTAATGAGATGGCTCTGAATCAATCGATATGGCTCTTGAAAACACAAATAAAGCTTCATCAAAAGCTCCCTTATCAAATAGAGCCATACCAAGGTTGTCATGACCACTAGATCTATCTCCCTATAGTTCTACTGCTTTTTTAAAATCTATAATAGCTTCGTCTATTCTGCTAAGTTTTCTGAGACACACTCCTTTATTGTAGTAGGCATACCACATTGTATTCTAATCATTGAGGCCTTTATCCAAAGCCTTTTAATAATCTTCTACAGCTTCTTCGATTCTATTTACTTTTTGCTTCACCATTGCTCTAAAATAAAAATGGCTTGCTACCTCTCTCTCTATTTTGATTGCCTTGTCAAACTAAGTCAACGCTTCATCAAGCTTACCTTAGTAATACATTGCTTATCCAGCACAATCTAGACATAATTTAGTTAGCTCATATTATTTTTTCATTCTTACTTAAGTGCTCTGCTTGTTTTTTCTTGTCGTTTTTATCAAGTTTAAGGGCCATCGTGAAATCATACTAAGCATTAGTGTAATCATGCATCTCCATTCTGCATTTGCCTCTTAAATGAAATGCCTCACTGTTGCCTAAATAACTAATAAGATTTTTGCTTAATTACTCGGGTCTTTAGCAATAGCCTCATTGAACAGAGTAAAAGCATTATCAAAGTTTATCTAAGGAGATAAAATATTTCCATTATATTCATACCTGATAACCACTCTTTCCGAAAAAGTATTTCTTGCCTTCAGCTGTTAGTCTCTTAGACTAAATTCATTTAGGCTTATAAATTATCTTACTTCAATTGCATTACCTCCTATCTCATTATTTTAGAAGGTTTATTTAACTACTTTTTGTGATTAAGATTGCTTCAAATTAGGTGGACTCATTGATGATCGTTTTGAAGGTTATGGTTTTGACATTTTAAAGCTATTTTTAATTAATTAATCAAATTTATAATTATAATGGTTGAACAATCATCAAAGGGTAATATTGGACAATAAATATGCTTTAACTTGGGATTGGGCTAGCTAATCGCTTTAAGTCTCGTTTCTGGGGGAGTTTTTACGTAAAATAATTTAATAAGCTTTAATATTCCTAGGAACTATTTGGCAATCTGCAACATTTAGACTCCGGTATTAACTCTGACATTTCTATATGCAACTTTATCTCTATATCTGATATTCCATTTGTAGGTCAATTTCTGTTTTACAATATTTTAATTAGCACATATAAGGGTAAATTTACTCCAATACCAATATGGAAATTCTTCATTTGTGCGATGGTAGATTCACATGCCACAATTCTAAGTAAATATACTGAATTTTTTTATAGCAATTATAGTTGTCAAATCCTATTTATACACATCTATCACATCAGTGATGCTTTTACAAGTTTTCTCAATTCCATCAGCACTATTCCTCTCAATTTTCTTCCTCAAAATAAAGTATAGATGCAATCATTATTTGTCTCTCTTGTTCTGTGCTGCTGGAGTGGCTTTCTCTCTTGTTAATGACATAATCCTTAATCCAAGAGATAACAATAATGAGTCCACCTTAGATGCCTTGTATGGTGATATCATGGTACTATGTGGTGCTTTTCTATATGCAACGTAAGTTCTAAATTTTTTATCAAATTAAAATAGATCGAATATTTTACAAGAGCATTTACTAAAAACTGGGGCAGATGTATTTAACTATCTAGGATTTCTAGGTTTATTTGGAACTGTCATCACATTATTGGAATCTTTTCTTTGGTTTTAGGAGTACAAGGAATTCAATGGCATTGATCATGGAGATATTTACAAGGTTGCTTTATACTATTTTGGATTTGCCTTCATCAACTTTGTTTCTTACACGATCATACCTTTCTTTGTAAGAAGATCAGGGGCAACTCTACTTAACATTTCTAATCTTACTACTATCATATGGTCTATGTTGTCAGATATTTTTCTCTTCAATAGACCCTTTGTATGTCATAGATTTTATTAATTCTGATTATAGTATTGGATGTACGTATGCGCGTTTGGGTGTGAATTAGTAGCTATATTAGTTTATAGCATCAAGAATCCGATAACAAATCAAGAATTAGAGTAGAGTCAGCAGCAATTGACAGACTTGTAAACGTCAGCCATTAATAAATCTATCTTATAATCTATTAAAAGTGGGAATATAGCAACTAATTCGCCTAAACACAAGTCAAGCTAATATTCTAAGAGCAATAACCTGAAATTTGAAGATAGTAAAAACAGTCAAGCTAATGGAGGAAGAGGTGATGGTGGTTATAACAGTAGTTTATTACAAAGTAAGAACTCAAAGGATGCCAATAAACAAACTGGATCCTTTAAATAGAAAAATGAGCATTAACAAGAGAATAGAGGAAGTATAAAGAGTAGAGCTAGTAGTAATTATGATGAATTATTGCAAGATCAAATATTTGGAGGTGCTGCTAGCTAAACCATTACAATGCTTAAACTTTAGGATTAATTAAGGAAAAATGTCAAAGAGCATTCTAACTCATTACAGAATTCTACATACGATGCTGTATTACAGGAGGATAGAGACGAATATATTAAAGGGAATAATCAGTATCAGAATAAAAGTAGGAAATATTCGTAACTTTGATAATCATTGATGGATAGTTAAAGTATAGCGATTTATTTAATATGAAACACTTAACATTAAGTTTTAATTTCAAAACAATTATTTATTGGATATTTATAATTGGGTTATCTCAAATTCCTTTCATTTAAGGGGTTTTGGGGTTTTGGGG